TATTCGATTGCATTTCTCTACTATACCTCTAGTATGTTTATGAACCTTCACATAAGCAAAACAACTAGTTAAGTCTTGACCCAACATTATTTAGGAAAAACTCTAATGTAACTTAACCTCCAATTGGTAAAAGTGTGCCCTTCGCTGATGCAAATAAGGTTACGTGTGTTGACATCGGCCAAGCCATTTTGGTAGTGTGCAATAACACGCGGCCTTGGGCAATCACCGCACAAGATGGCGTAGAATAGGGCAGTAGCAGGTACGAGTGTTAACCCGCATCTGTTGCATTAGGTGGTCACATGCTGCTGCACACGACCACCACACGTTGTTTGCGGCAATGTGAGACGAGGTTGCGTGTAGACACATGCAGTAGCCACGCGCTGTTGTACAAGGTAAGCATGTTGCTGTTGTTGCTGCTTCAGCACCCGCCATGCGCGGTAGCACATGGTGGTTGTGCATTGTCGTGAACGACAATGCACCAGGCTCCTAAAATTAATTTTAATTTTAATTAAAACAAAATTAAAATTAGTTAAGAGGAATTCAATAATCAACACACCAACAAATCCAATTTAATCCAATTAACCAAAAACAAATTAATCAAATTAAACCCTAACCACGCAATCATCAAATCACATAATTAAAACATGTAATTAATCAATTACAAACAATCCAAAAAATCTTAAAATAATTAAATCATATTACCCGAGGCTCTAATACTTCTGTAAGGTTTAATATAAGCGGAAAAATGCAGAGGCATAGTCTTTTAAAATTTTATTAAACCTTAATCCCATGATCTGGGTATTGATTTAATTATTTTCATGTTTAATTCACGTACAAGGTTGCGAATTACTTACTTTTGTTTGGAGGCTCCTTCACTTTAATTTTCCAATTGTTCACAACACTACTCATGATGGAATTGTTCATGATGGATCCTTTGCAACTCAATTCAAGGATAGAATGGCAGCTCAGTATCCACGCAAAGAGCTAGCTTGAAGAATAATCAGAGAAAATCCCAACTGCTAGAGAAGGAGTGGATGTCGGCTAAGGTTTTGCTCTCTAAAAAATTATCTCTATTCTTGGTTGAATGAATTCTCTCTTTATAAACATAATTCAGGTTGTCTTATATAGGCAACTTAAAATCCTATTCCATTTTGGAATAGGATACAATTCTATTCCTAGTTTTGTTTTAATCCAAAACCAACTTAGAATAGAATTAATTAGGTTTCTTATTAGCATTAATATAATAAATATATTAATTAACTAATTAGGTTTTTTTTTTTTTTTTAATTTCAATTAACATTATATATATTAATTAGGGTAATTTAATTAATGCAATTAATATTAATATATCAAATTTATTAAATATTAATTAGGTAATTTATTTATTCTATAAGAAATAGACATAGGTGCCAACCTATATATAATTACTGAATTACCCTCATCTTTGTAAAAAGACCAAAATACCCATTAGCCCTTCTTTGATTAAATACACAATCCACAATCAACTCTCCTTATGTGTGTGACTCGTAGGCTTCCTGTCATGTTGACAATGAGTAATGTTGTGATTAACCACTAATTAATCGTTTCATTACACATAAAGTAAGATTGGCCTGTAACAAGATATCATGGCCACTCGACAAGTAAAGATCAGCGAAGAACTGATACCTATTTACAGTATGGTTACCGTGCAATTCAATCATTTCATCACCCGTTATCTCGTCAAGGCTGAAGTACAAAAATAGTGTCATCCTCAAATCATACCCTTGATGTATTTGGTGTTTGGTTATCAAACTAAAAACCGAAATTAAATCAAATTTGAGCGACAACTCAATTCCACTATGGCCACATATTTATGGTCATTGCCATAAAACCAAATTGCGCGGTGAGATAATTACTCTCGTAACCAGGAGTGATGAATCGTTTGTCAATCTACCATAGCCATGATATATTTCTTGATGTAGTCAATCACCACCATACTAATAACCCTAAAGAGGACTACGTTAGGCTAGCGTCAAACTACACCACTAAGTACACACCACGCTCTGATAATCTCAAGTCTTAAGATCACATGCATTACTATCTGTAAAAAGATTTGTTCCATAGACACTGGGTTCACCATTTGTATGGAATCCTCTAGTGGGTCAGTCCAATGAACTTGCATCCAACAAGCACCTATGCGTTGCATCAAGTTGTCAACAAACAATTTTGATATGCGAGATCTGTCACTATCTTTCGATAGGGTCGTTCAACACTATGATAGTCTTACCGTATTATTTGTGCCCTAGGTCAAAATGAGGTTATAGACATTTCTAAAATGACCATCATATGTGTTTATGAGGATCTCATAATCAAGACTTAAAATCGCTTGATTTCCTTGTTATGGTTCCACTACTCTAAGGACATATATTATTATATATATAAAATACGATTTACATAATATAATTAATACCTTTATTAATTTTTAATTATGATATATTAAAGTCTATTATAATTAATTGATTGATTTTAGGTACCAAATTTGATAAAAGGGACTTTAGTTTATACTTTCCACGATCCTCACAACGCACTGCATAATTAAATTCTCTGGTAGTTTAACATTAAAGGATTATTTCTTCAAATTGAGTAATACTCCCTTCGTTTCCTTTTAATTGTCGTTTTAAGACTTTCTAAAATTTTCAAAATTAAAGTCGTTCTGCCTTTGTCTTGTCTGCACCTTTCATCATGCCTTCTCCACTTTTTATCATCCCTTTCTCTTTCCATTCCATCTTGTCATTTCTTTACTTTTTGCCTCTGTCCTCTTNTTTTCTTACGGTAATTTATTCTTAAAAGTGATAATGGTACATTGTTGCATGACTCATTTGACTCTTTAATTTATGAATGATTAGGTTTTGAAGAGAATCATAGCCTCAAAAATGAGGCCAAATTAATTGACACTGAAGGCAGTACAAGCATTGCAAATCAATCTGGAATGGTGGATATCAATAGTGGAGGTTTTATTTGATTTTTTCTTTGGTTGATGTGAATACAATTTTTTTTGCTTTTATCAATTCAGTTAATTAGTTACAATATTTTCTCTTATACAGTACATGTTGCAAAAAACAATGCAGAAGGTGCATCAAGATAGATTGTCAAAATTGAAATTTCTGGAGTTTGGAATAACCAAGAAAAATCAGCAGTGGGCATTGTAATGCATGATACATGCTGTGGAAATCTGACTTTACTAGAACAGTATGTGTCAGCTTCTAACACACTACATGTAGAATATCTTGCCTTATATCATGGACTGTGTGTTGCTCGTGAAAATGGTGTTAAAGAAGTCCAATGTTTGTCCTACTCTCAAGAACTAATTAACAACCTTAATAGGAATGATGAACAAAAATGTGTATTGGGTGATTTGCTTGATTCCTTTACATATGTAGAAGTCTATAAAGTGCCTATTAGTGTGGATATGTTCGCTGATGTTATGGCTCGCATGGCCACTAGGAGATGATCGAGCCTTGTACTCCTTGGTGAGAGTGATTGTTGGGTGTTTCAGTTTTTCTCAATTGGTTTCTACTTTTTATTTTGGTTTTGGCTCAATTTTTGTGACTTTTGCCTATGTTTTGTTTTAGCCTATGCTGCGGGGCCTTTGGTGTTAAGAAGGGCATGTGGCTGACCTAAGAGTGTGTGCTTTGCAGGAGTTTTGCTGTGGTGAGTCTTGGTTTTTCTGCTAGCTGGGGATTGAAGCTTTTGTTGGATTTCCTTGAAGGTGGCTGGAGTTTTGAGACTTTTTGGCTGCAGACCTTTATGTACAGACTGTGTAGTTTGATTTGTGCCTAGATGCCTTGCTTTTTTTATTGCCGGCCTTTTTTGGTCCATGTACAGACTGCAATGAAAATTCATTAGCTTTTATCCCTCTTTACTTATCCATTATGAAGGTTCAGCAAATTCATTCAATGTATTTGAATAATATAGAAATGCATATTTGATCTAGAAGTTTCAATGCACCCACAAACAAACACATCAGTTATTTGGCTTCAGCACAGCTACAAACTAGCCACCCAAAGAATAGTATTCTACCTATGCTGGTCATGGATTAAAAAAGCTGCATCACATGATTATAATAATTTCAAAAATTAAGTTCCTTTAAGCGGTGATATGATTTCCAGAGTAAGTTTACTACAACAATTCCATCATCCTCCCAATTGGATTACTAGATGAAATTATATAGAAAAGTAAGAGAAACAAAATAAGATAAAATTAAAATTACAACGTACAAGAAAGATTGTTGACATGTCCCCAGTAATTGATTCCACATTAGATTAGATGGAACTCCTTCAAATAACACATTTAAACCATCATCCTCTCCTCGTATTTTCCCATTTTTCACCTTGAGTTTCTTTGCAAGTTTCCTCTCCAATTCCAAATCTTCCTCTGCACTTATGCTAGCTTTGTATAGGTTTACTTTCAAATAATGAAGGATGTTAGCTTGGTATAGGTTTACAGTCTATCATAGGACCTGCAGAAAAGATTAGATTTGTATATGGTTGTTTACTTCATTATCTAAATATCATCGGTCTCACTTTAAGCTAAAGCTGATTTTCTATATGTGCATCTTTTGGTAGGCAGAGTGACACCAGAAAGTGTAGTGTACAACTTTGGCACCTTGTTATATATTACCATAATAAAAGCTTATATTACAAAATAGAACAAGTTTTTTTCTTGTATGTTGGAGTATAATTTCTTTACAGCAAAAAAAACAAAAATCAAAATGAAACACAAACTACTCCTAAAAGACAATATCTTATCAGAACCCATATGAACATCATGGACAAGATAAAAATAGTCTTCAATACTGGATAGGTCAATTGTAACACTTATTGACATGCTTCTCCAATTAACGCGGGGTCAACATCTAACTGCCTAGGAAGGCAATTTTGTCTCTCCAACCTATGTTTTTTCATGTGCGGAACCTTATATTTGTTTGAACCTCTGGCTTTCAAAATTGAAATCATACATGACTATAAAGTTAAAAACGTATGATTCAATTTTGTTGGCAAGTATTCATCAAATGACTTTTGAACAGCCTCTATGAGCGCATCTATAGAGTTGGGTGCCTGTTGGTTTTGTAGCCCCTGTATCGCATTAAAAAACCCAAGGTCTAGAACATTCATATTTGAAGAATTCGGTGGTTGACAGATCAAACGTATGTCGAAGCCATCCTTAGTAGCATTACTTTGAAAATACTCATCATCCAAACCAATATGAGGTTTCGCATTGTCTTGTTGGATAAATATTGGACTTCCTGCATCAATTCTTGGCCACTTATCTCGGATAGCTGGCAAGAGTTTCTCAACTATGTAAGATCGATAAATTTCCTTATTGATAGAATTGATTGCTTTAGTCTCCATAGTTCCGGCAGAATGATTTTTACTACTCCTGCTTGCAGGTTCTTTATTTATGAAAGGAAATATCCCAATTTTTCCAGAAAATAATTCATTCACTGATTCATCAAACCTTGGGCATGTCACTGTAGCTAGAAACATGACTTTAGTAATAAAAGTCTTACTCTTACATGTGCGTAAAGGCTCATCTTCGTCAGGCAGGAGGTAATACTTCTCTGACTGCTTTGTCATGTAGAACCACTTCTCATCAACATGAATAATATTTCCCATAGTTACAAACCTCAAACAACTGGGGTTGTTGCCATGTTCAATCATCGATAAACAAAAGCGTATTCTAGCTTTCATGTTTTCCACGTTTAATAAAGGTTTTATAGCATTTGAATGATGACGTATAGAGCCCTCTTTTAATCGCCTAAACAATGTTGTCACTGACAAATTTGTGACAGCAGATAAAGACCTCAGTGTCGCCCTTCTTCGCAATGGAATATTTTGAAATTGACTGACGTCAATTTGAAGACGCTTGCGCCCATAATTGAGTGCCTTTCTGCTAGATACATTAGTGTTAGAATCCAAAACTTCATTTTCTTTTCCCCATTGCCAAATGCGTTGGACTGTACGCATACTAACTAAATATAATTGAGCCACCTCAAATGTAGTGTTTTTCTTCAATTGTCCATTAACACTTCGCTTCAATAGAGATTCAAAAATTGCTTGTCTTTGTTCATTTGTAAGGTTTTTTCAACTCACATGTGTATTAACTTTCTCTGTTATGTCATCAACTTCATTCGTAGTTTCTAATGTTAGAAGAACATTTAAATCAATTTCCCTAAGCACACCTCTACTATTACATTGTTCGGCCATGGTGACTGACTGAACAGAATCAAAGAGATGGAAATGGAAATGAGTGAAGGACGAGAAAATAAAAGAAATGGAACAGACTACAGGGTAAAAGAAAAAAAAGGGATGAAGAGCAAAGTAAAGAAAAGAAAGGGACGAAGAGCAGGAAATGGAATAAGACAAAAATGTTAATTATTTAAATATGCAGCGGAAAAGTTTCCCACCTGCAAAATAAGGGGAAAAAGTTGGTGGGAGAGACAAAATTTTCTTTTTATTAAAACTTGTGCCCAACCTTAAAACGTCTTTTAAATAGGAACGGAGGGAGTATAATTTTATTTAAAAATACTTTCACCTAGGGAAAATTATTTCTAATCCTACGAGTAACATTCTCAAATTACTAATCTTAATGCTAGTAACTTAATCAAGCACCTAAAAAACTAATCAATAATTATTAATGCTCATGAATTTCATCTTTCGTAATTAATATTTTATAATAGAGTAAACGACATGTTCCCACCCAAGATTTAGCAAAATGGTAAGTTCCCACCTTTGGTTTCATAAATTCTAGATTTCCACCCTTAAATTAACACTGTTTCGTTTTTTTTAACAATTAAAGGCTAAAATGATCATTTACTATATTTTAAATGTCTGCAAAAACATCTCTCTCAACTTTGGGACTCCAACCAACACTGTTGCTAGTCCTTAGTGCCATCTCTAACATCAAATCGTAGCTCCCTTGCTCTGGTTCACCTCTCGGCCATTCTCCTCGTCATTCCCAATCTGTTCGCGCTGCAACCAGCCCTCTTTATCACACTGCAACTAGCACTATTTATTAGGGGTGTTCAAAAGCGGTTAACCGAACTGGTTAACTGCTTTTCTGAACCGAACCAAATTTTTGAACCAAAACCGAACCGGTTAACCATTTTAAAAAAAAACGGTTAACCGTTTGTGAACCGGTTTTCCATTTTTTTATAAAACTTTTTTTTTTTTAATTTTATCCTAAATTAAATTGTAAATAACTAAATATAGAAAAATACATATCCAAATAAAAATTAAACATTTATACATATCCATTGACCACTACTAACAATAAATTAAAAATTGATACAAATAAAAGTCCGAAATGAAATAAAAATAAAAGTCCATAATAAAACAACAAAATAAATAAATAAGTCCCAATAGAAAACAACAAAAGAAATTGGGCAAATACAACTCCACAAGTAGAAAGCGGAAACCAACATTAAGTCAATACAAGTAGATCTCCCAAAGATTGACAAATAAAAATTAAATGTTAGAAGTTTATAAAATTAAATCATATTTTTTTTCATTGCTACGATAAAAAACTATTAAAGAAATCAAACCTCAATTAAATACTGCAAAACCTTCAATCATCAAGATGAATACGAGTAGTATTTCCCATTGCCGAAGAAACAAATTCTATAAAAATAGGTCATATAATAATGGTTAAATTTAAAATTCAGTCAATAAATCCAATAAAGACAACATATACAATAATGAAACTAAAGCAAAAACTTTACCTAACTCAAGCTCTGCTATCTTTCCAAGCTCTCTCAATCATGAATGGTTCACGTGTAGCCCGAACTCAATCTTGTGTGTAAATAAGAGCTCCACCGTCTTAGGAGTGAGGGAGCTACGAAATGGATCTAATACACGACCCCCAGTGCTAAATGCTGACTCAAATGCAACAGTAGAAAACCGGCATAGCTAACACCTCTCGTGCTATCGAAGAGAGAATGGATATCTATTTGAATGACTTTCCACCAACTCAAGATATCAAACATGTCGTCCTTATGACGCTGCTCACATTCATCCTTAAATATTTAACCATCTCAGATTTGGTTACTGTAACCTCTTGTCCAGCCATGCTTGTCATACATACAATACATCAATTCTTTGGGATCAACATTTCATCTTCCACATTAACTTGACTTGCTTGTGAGACTGTTGACTAGATTGCCTTGGAGAACTATAAATGAGTTGTATTGGTCAAAATAAGAATACAAAGTTGTATGCACTTTTGTCTTCAAAAGTTCAGCTTAGCATCATCATAAGATTACTAATAACCCAATTACATATCCTAACTTGAATCTAAGATCCAACACCACTGCAATGAATAACATTAAGTTGATTTATCAATATTTGACCAATATTATCATGTTTCCCTTCATTCTCCTAGCCATAGTACTTAAGCCAACACATTACTTTAGACCATGTTGAAATCTGCCTTCCATGGCAAGATCTCGCGCATGTATGCATTACCAGTAACAAAAAGTGAGCCTGACACGCGTAGAGTAGCATCATAAAAAACTTCAAAAAAGGTAAAGTAACAAGGGCATACTCCACATCACTAGGCATAGGGCAAACCCTTTGACTTTCCCTCTAGTAAGTTCATCTTTAAACTACCGTCTTGGATTTCAACAACAATCAAATGCTTTCTGAAATTTAAAGGCACATCTAACATTAAGTACGTAGAGTCCACCTGTGTTCTACATCAAGGACCAAAAGAATTTTTTGTTCAATCTTTTCTTGCTCTACACTTCCTTAAACCTTTGTAATCTCACCAGAGAAGACCTCAATATTCCATACAGAGCGAATTCTAAAAATGGAGTCCTCCATGTCTTTTAACCCCTCTTTTACAGTGAGACTCATATATGTGCACAACACCTCATGTCGCAGAAAATCACCACCTCAAAACACTACATCCAACTTTCAACGGTTTGTAGATATTATTCCAACATCATTAGAACTGCATATGTCAACGGTAATGGTGAAAACCTTAGAAATACCCCAATCAAGCAAATACCTCTCAATTGCCTTACAATCAATAAACCGTGTGACTAGCAATTGGACAAAAATTTAAGATTTTTGTGTAATTCCAATCATCATCAATGAAGTGAGCCGTCAAACACATATAGGTAAGGTTTTGGCAAGATGTCCATGTATCCGTGGTAAGACTACTCTCTTACTAACTTACTAAAAAAGGCATTCAACTTATTCTCTCTCTCAACATAAATATTAAAACAATCTCTAGCCAGTAATACGAGAAGGAAATGAAATAAAGGTTGTGCATCTTCATCATATCGCGGAACCCTCAGTTCAATGCCTAAAGGGCAACTCATCAACAATTATCATTCTAGCTAGAGACCGTCTAAGCCATATTGGATTGAATTTCCAAGTTGTAGTGAAGATTTGTGGAGGTGGCGCAGACAGCAGTACCACTTGATGGTCATTTGATTGTGTATGTTGAAAACTAAGATCTTTGTTTCTTATCTATCACATTCAAAAGGTACTTTTTACATCGACTTAAGTGATTATGTAGACAAATAGTTACCACTTTACTGGAACTACAAGCACATTCCCAAATAATACATCAGTTGTCATCCTATCACCATATTCTCACAAGAGATTACAGTAAAATGATTCCACATGTCAGAAGTATTTTTCGAGTATTAGAACTTTTTGGGGAATCGTGGTGGTCGTGGTCGTGGATCAAGATCTGTAGAAGGCTGTGGGGCTAACAATGAGTTGGAGTGGATCCTAAAGTTGGTGTCTCCGGACTCTCATCATAGTTCACAGATAATGGTCAGCAGCCATGGGGTTAGATTTGGAATCTGCAACATCAACACGAAGATCTTAATGTAAGTGAAAGGACCCCTAGCAGTCCATACAACTAAAAAAAAAGAACCAAATTTCATAACAAGCAACATTAAGATGATTTTGCCTAAGAAGAAATTCATTGAATGGTACATACTTGACTCTCAAACCAAGACTATAACAGTAATTGCTTTTTTTCTTTGAATTTTCGATCTACCCAGGTATATATACCTTAAACATTTTATCAAACTTGGACATATCTTTTATTTAACACACAATAGAATTATTGAATTACATTGTGTTCAAATAATGCAGGAGTTGCTTTGGGTGATAGCTGGATTTCTCCTGAAGATTTTGTGTATGTGTTCCACTGATTGAAAATTTCTGTGTGCCAAATATTTTCCATCTAAAAATGACTTGATTTTCATATTAAAATTGCACAACTAAAGATTAAATGCAGTTTTCATGGGCACCACTTCTCAAAGAGCTGTCCCGAATGGACAACAAAGGCTTGAATGAATCGAAAAGGTTCAGATTAAGAATTTAATTGTCTCTGATTAATGTTTTGAAAAAGGCAAAATCAAATTAAGTTAGCATAATCCATTTTGCAAGAACAGTTTAGCTCTAAAGATTAAGCAGCAACTAGCAGCAGGTAAATATGAAGATGCTGCAATAACATACTCATATATTACTTGTTCAAATAATGCAGGAGTTCTAGTGGCAGACATAAAACAAAATTTCACAAATGATATGAGTTATCTCTCACTCTTTTCTCTTTAAGATAAGGTGCCAATATTATTTAATAAATGATAAAAGGAAAGTTCTTACCTTGAAATTGTTGCTGCGCCTTTGTTTCTTGAGAATGGATGAGTAGAAAAGATTTTTTAATAAACTATGAAGTAACGTGGGTGCTTGCTGGAAGAAGGAGCTGGAAGAAGGAGAAGGATGACGCAGCTTTGCTGGATCTAGAAGAAAAATGAAGAAAATCTGGTATTTGTGAACTGAGAAGGGCCTCAGGTGCTTGCTGGAGCTGGAAGAAGGAGAACGACGCCGCAACTTTGCTGGATCTGGAAGAAAAATGAAGATAATCGAGAATTTGTGAATTGAGAAGGGAGAGGCAGAGAGCTACGAAAAAATTGGTGGGTTGCGATTTTAGATTTGAGTGAAAG